CTTGGTGTAATAATTAATTGATTTTGCTGTGGTACATCTGGGATAACATACTTCGAATAGGATTGAGCAAGTCTCAGAAATAATATGGAAATATATTGGGCCTCAGGTGAACACAGCAGCACTTTTCTGGTATTCATTTAGGGGACCCACTTTTTCATGCATCCCTTAACTAAACCAGTAAAAGGAAAATGCTTTTTAAATTTTTTTTTTACCCACAAACTCAAGTAGTTTATTATGGTTGTGCAGTTTACTAGGAGAGATACTTAATTAAACAATGCCAGAAACAAAATGCCATTCCAGTATAAAGTGGACCCAACAGAAGGATTAACTTCACCTCTTTGTTACAAAAGGTAGGGGTTTTGCCATCATGTGGAGGAAACTCCCTCCAGATCAGTGACAGAGTGATGGTAACAAATACAGCAGAATGCTTTGTACTAGGAATTGAAGGCTCTCCCTGTGAACAAGGAGCTTTGGCATACACACAAGCGGACAATCAAAGCCAGTGGAGAAGCTTCCCAGCTGCAGTGATCAGGCTTCTAGCACAAGAACAAGGAGTCATGAAAGCTAAGAAGTATTTTTTCTCTTCAGTGCAGTGAGCTATTTTCTTCTGGTCCTTTCTTTAGCCATCACAGTACATGGCAGAGCCCATTGGAGAGAGAGTAGCAACATAGAGAAACTACATAGATTTCAGAGTGACACATCTATCTTTGTTTTAAAGTTTGCAATCATTATATTAGTGAAGGATAGGCAAGTTGAGGCAGCAGATGTCTTAATTATATTTTACGGCAGGTGTCCTTCTTCTCTTGACAAAGGGTTCAGAAGGGTCTGAGGCCAAGGTTTGAAACAGTTCTGATCTTTCATCCAGGTGGCCTTCCAGACAGGGCCATGCAGACAGATAGTAACTGATGGACTAAGGTGGATGATTTCTGCCACAGAAATCTTCCAGCTTTTTTCAACCCTGCAAGGAGATTATAAGTGGTTCTGTAAGTGAATCTCATGCTTTCTGTTATTGTTATGGTGAATGGAAAATTATGGATCATGGACTTGAACCTTGTCTGAAGAGGGAGCCTAACAATGTGGACCCAAAGGAAAATGATGTCTTCAACTCTAAGAGAATGAAGTAGCAACCTCTTCACCACCACTGTCTTAGGTGTTTATATATACACAGTTGATATGGGAAGATCATAAAAGAGGCAGCACAAAACTGGGCAGAAGTGGCTGTATTGATACTTGAGTGAGCAGTACTTCCCTAATGGCATAGCCATGATTGACATTGCCTGTGGATGATTTAGCCATTTGTACAAAACTGGAAAGGCTTTTGGGACATAAATGCCTTTGGTCCTATTAATAGATAGGAGGGCAATTGAATTAACCCCAAAATTTTATTTTTCTTTGCAAATTTATTCTATAAATAAACAATATAGGTCAGTGTAAAGCAATGTATGGTAATTGAAATATGTTTACATTCTAAAACTTTTAAAGGCTGTATTTATAGGGGGAAAGTAATATCAAATTATTGTCACTTAAAAATATGATTCAGAGAGAAATTAGTTTGCAATGTTCAAGTCAAGCAATTATTGATTGGCACATTAACACTTATGGAACTTTCTGCAAGATACTGCATTAATATTTCTGCAACTTTCCTATTTTTATTGAAAAATATCCACACATGCATTGCAGAAGGACTTTTTTTCTTACATTAAAACCAGTCTAAATAATTATTTGTGCAAACTCTTAAACTCACTTCAAATTCAATTAGGACTAACCTTCAGTTTTGCTCTACCTATTTTGTAGACAGTATGGATATATATATAATCAGTAAGCAAAAATTAATTTTGAGGCACAGTTGGAAACAAGCACAAAACGTGTTGATTCATCTAGTTTCATTTAGCTTGGAGGCTATGATAAACTGATAAATTTATCAGATTATTAAAGCTATACAGTTCTCTACCTTTCCAAATTATCCATATATATAATTTCCAAGCAGTAAGGTTTAAAGTCTTTCAGTTCATGTACATTTAGGCTAATATACTTAAGAGTATTGCAACTCAACATACTAAATTCTGTTAACATGGTTAATATTTTTTTTTAAAGCAATGGATGTATGGATGGGAGTCTTTAAATAACTTAAGTTGTAAATATTTTAGATGGTGAGGATTGGGAAAAATAAATACTTCCATATTCCATGTTTTAGCATGACTATAACGTTACTGAGGAATAAGGGGCTAAAACAATTTCAGATTTCCAGAGGCTCTTATATGTTGCAGCATTTATACTGCTTGAATGTTAAAATAAAACAAGTCAATAAAGATTTTACTGCACAATTGTCTTTACTGAACTTGTTTGTTTGTTTATTGTCTCTTGACTTTATTATGTTTTAATAAATAACTCAAAGAGAACATGGTTAATATTCCTTCCTCCTATTTTCCCAGCCTACAATAACAACCTTGTGAGATGAGTTGGACTGAGAGAGTGACTGGTACATGGTCACCCAGCTGGCTTTTATGCCTAAGGCAGGCCTGCAAGTCAGAGTCTCCTGGTTTATAGCCTGGTTTCTTAACGTCTAGGTCAGTGGTTTTCAAGCTTTTCTACACCATGGACCCCCCCTTTAAATACCTTCTGTGGCCACTGACTGTGGCCATGGACCCCCAAGACATAATACAAAATTTAAATCATAACATTTCTAGCTTTCATGGACCCACTGTGACAACATTGCCACCTTCCCCAGGGGTCTGCAAACCAGAGGTTGAGAACCCTGCACTAGATTAAACTAGTAAAAAAACCCAAAACACTAGACATGATTTTCATGCAAAACACATCGTGTTCACTTCCAGTAACTAGCAAACAAGATCTACTTAACAAGAGGATGTTGAAGATCTGAAAATATGGTGTTTTCTGCTTTTCATCATTTTATTAATTTTCCAGGTTGTTTTTGCTTTATGTTGCTTATTAACAAATTAAATTTGGTTTGTTGGTTGGTCTGAAATCTTGGAGAGCTGCTGCTAGAGTAAGAAAAACTGGATTTGCTGGCCAAGAATTTGTTCATGTTCTTTATCAAGACATAAGTTCCCATCCACTGCAAGCCAAATGAAACAACATAATTCTGTACAGAAATGCTAATGGTAAAAGCACAGCTATCATTTTTAAGGAGCTAAATGCCACTTTTGTTTAAGCAAGACTAAAATGGAATAAATACAACAGATAATTGTATTCTATAGTTCTGTAGAATTTCTGAAGTGACTAAAGCAAAACGTCTACCTAGCTTAAAAATATGAATTATCTCCAGAATTTGTGATAATTTATGCTGAAAGATAAAAGGGAAGTGGGAGCATTTTTGCATTAAGCAATATAATATAAAATCTTAAGATACTAGATACTTTGTTTCTTTTTATTTTTGTTTTATTTTTGCTAAGCTTAGATAGCTATAACTGAGCCACAAAGAAGTGGGAGTCAAACTATTCTTCAAAGCACCTGAGGGTAGAACAAGAAGCAATGGGTGGAAAGTAATTAATGAGAGAAGCAACTGAGGAGAAATTTCCTGACAGTTAGAACAATTAATCAGTGGAACAGCTTGCCTCCAGAAGTTGTGAATGCCCCAACACTGGAAGTCTTTAAGANCTTCCAAAAAGCAAAGTCAATGAGAGTAGGTAGATTTAATTAACAACCCTGGCAAGTTGTAAAATTTGGTACAAGTTACTTAACAACCTTCTTGGCTTAGCAACAAAAGTTCTCCTCCCCAATTTTGGTCATAATTTGAGGATTATGTGTAGTTCTAAGTTCCTAATCTTTTTACAAACCTTGGGATAAAGGTTATGTGAATAGACATTTTAGGCTGATTGAATGAAGTGACCCTTAACATACCCGAACTTCAAAGCAAAAGCAAAATCCATAAAACTGTACAATTAAAATGAAAAATGAACATATTTAAGGAAATCAAAAATGAAAAATAAATGGAAAACGTTGAAGTAATATCAGAAGTATAAGATTAACAGATGTCCAAAAGGTTACTTGACCAGGAAAACCTGACTAACAAAAAATACGTTAGGAATAGGAGATCTAACTTTATATAAAGTTAAGAGTGTTGGATCTGAGTGAGAGGACATATGGCTACTGTACGAATTCAGGTAAATTACTATCTAACCTACTGATGGAGTTTTTGAGATACTAAGATAGGAGTGCTTTAGATGTTCCTGAGCAGTTATGAAGAGTATTGTATAGTTAGTACAGAATTACTGTGTTCGTAGAAAAATTAATACTTTTGAAACATTCTTCTTCATCTCAAGTGAAATATGACATAGGCAAAGGATATAGAAAATAAAATAAATACAGATTTAGAAATGCAAAACACAGTGTTTGCGTAGCCATTAGCCAGCAAATCAGGAGAGATTTATTGGTGTAGAAAGTTATTATCTACCATTTGCCTCATCCACCGTGTTTCCCATCATGAGCTGCTTTTGTCTTTAATATTTAAAAATAGTTTTAAAGAACCTTTTTGTGTTAAACTTTGGTTTGGAGGTCTGGGCAAATGTCTACCGAGATTTCAGCATGATAAGATACTAACAGTTAAATCAAGGTGAAATGTTAAGTCAATGCTTGCATACCACCGAAATGAATCAGTGAGTTCAGTCACATGCACAGCCTCTTGTTATAATGACATTTACTGATTGTCAGAGAACATCTGGCAGAGATGGAAGTATCATTTTATTTAGATGTTCCTCAAAAAAGATAATAAAGTTATTTTTTCTCCAGCCATTTATTTTGTTACAACATAGAGGATAATTTACAAAGAAACAGGTAAAAAGTCAAATCCTTTTTTTTTGTAATCATATATATATATATAGTGTTTGGAAAAAAGTTGCTATTTTTACATATTCTATGAAGATTAAATTAACCCTTAAAGGGAATTACATAATTACAGTAATGGTTTGCCATAAGCTGAAGGCACAGACAGCACTATATTATGTGGACTAATTTATTACTCATCTTTTTGTCTTTCACAGAATGTGGAGAAAATATTTGTGGAATTCAATCATAAAGAACTGTTTGAGTTCTATAACAAGGTCTGTATTGGTGTTTTAATAGATTTTTCCAGCATTTGATAACATTTCCTTTCCTTTAGGTAGACTTTATTTAATCAACTCGATAGTTCTGACTTGTTTTTGCTTGTAAACACACAATGACTTCCTCCCCCGAAGCAAAGCTCTTCTGGATTATATCTTGTATATACAGGGTTTACATTTAATGTTTCAAATGGCTTTGAACAAAGTGGTATTTGCTATAACTTGAACCAGCAAGTTCTAACAAGAACCAAAAATACAAGAAATTCTGAAAAGCTTAAATCTATAAAACATACTTATTTACATTATATAGGTGATGAATTCATCCACTCATATCCATAGGTTTCCAACTTGCAAACATATATCAATAAAACATTTATTTACATTATGCAAGTGATGAATTCACCCATAGGTTTCCAAATTGAAAACATATATCTATATATTATAAGTGGTCACTGACATTTTTTAAACAGTTAGCTTTAATAATTGTGGAAATTAGGTTTTTTCCTTTATTAATGAATTATCTCATCAATGTGTGTCTATATTTAATTTGCATATTTTTTTATTATTTCTCTTCCATTTTTATGTTCCTAAATACCTTTTTTGTTTTATTTTGATCAAATAGTTAGAAACAATACAAATGCAGCTGGATTCGCTGACATGATACTATCTGAAGACTAATTTCTCCATTACATTCCAACTGTTTTGATACTGAAGATAAAATGGCTGAATATATTTGCTGAAATACTCAATGGCTGGTTCTCAATAAATGATTTAAGTTTCTTTGATCATTCACATTAGGTAAATGAAATAACTGTTAAGAAAGTTTTGGCTCCATGGTATTCAACTTTAAGTGAAGCAATGTACTATATTATTGTGCAGACTTTTGAATTATGAAGTCTGCAGTTTTTGTTTTGCATTTGCATTGTGGATGGCAGTTTATGTAATACTATAGCATAATAAACTGCATGTAATCATTATCCAAAGTGTGCTTAAACAGTAAAAAAGATAATTAAATTGCTAAAACATTGGCTCCAATACTGATGTATTTTACCTATAAAAACAACACTACAAATACTCTTAACTTTGGACTATTTTAGTTTATTACTTAATGCTTTTATATTTGCTGCCAGATTTTCCAACTATGACAAATAGCAAGGTCTTCTTGTTTTTGAATGCTTCAGTGATGCTAAAACACTTTAAAGGACAATTGCCCTCACATGCATCAAAAAGAGAATAATGAGAATTTCTTAACAAATTCAGTTGTTTACTGGATGAACATTTTACCACCAAGGTTTGATTTTATAGATTCCCTGCTGGAAAGAAATTAAAATTAAATTAAAATAAAAAAAACAAGGCCCTTTTTAGTCAATCCAAAGCAGCAAGGACAAGGTCCAGTGCTGCAATGACGGCGGAAATGGTTGTCGATGCAGATTGTTGATGTGCTTTTTAGGGTACCTTAATGGTAAGAAGCCGATGAGTTATAATGCATACATTACATTACTAATTGGAAAAACTATGGATAATCTTTTACATTTCCTAGCTTTCCCTAGGTCTCGTTTTCATTCAAAAACTACCTGCTGGGTGCACAAATAAGTGCATTTAACAATGCCAATTAACCTGGCAGAAGGTTAAAAGTCTCTGCCAAGTGTCCTTGGTGTAATAATTAATTGATTTTGCTGTGGTACATCTGGGATAACATACTTCGAATAGGATTGAGCAAGTCTCAGAAATAATATGGAAATATATTGGGCCTCAGGTGAACACAGCAGCACTTTTCTGGTATTCATTTAGGGGACCCACTTTTTCATGCATCCCTTAACTAAACCAGTAAAAGGAAAATGCTTTTTAAATTTTTTTTTTACCCACAAACTCAAGTAGTTTATTATGGTTGTGCAGTTTACTAGGAGAGATACTTAATTAAACAATGCCAGAAACAAAATGCCATTCCAGTATAAAGTGGACCCAACAGAANGAAAAATATGATATGAAGTGAAAATAGATGCTGTGCCTTATTACACCCAGTTAAATAATGTTGAGCTTTAAACATTTGAGATGAGTTAATCTCTCATCCTGAGAGAGATGAAATTTTCTACTGATGTTTCTCCTGTCGTCAGTAGTTCTGTGACCAAAACCACAACCTCCTTATGTACCTCTCTCACTAAGGGATGCTGCCTTTAATGCACCTGTAACAACTGTACCAGAAGATTACATTTTTCCACTTTCATGTAGTTTTTAAAAGTCTGTAAAACATGAAAAAGCAAGGAAGGTTTGGGAATGTTGTCATCAAGACTAAGCTGTCATAAGTGAAGTGCTGGTTCAAATACCTTAATCATCTATGAATTTTAATGGTTTCAAGGGGGAAAACATATTATTTCTGAGTGAAACCTTCCGAACAAGATTGCCATTTACAGAGCTTCTTGGGAAAAGAGCAGGCAGAGTGATAATACCACTCTAATAATAAGCTGCGGAATAATATATTTCAGTAGTGGAACTGACCATGTCCCCACTTTCCTGGATTTCTGAAAACAATTTCCTCTGCCTATAATATAGTGGATGAAATCCAGTGAACATTTTGCATCACCCACCTCTTGAACTGAATGGGCCTTTCAGAAGAACAGTATTAATTTTGCTCAATTGCCTGAGAAAATTGCTCAGTGGATTCAGCTCCATATTAATCTCTTATTTGTCTCCCGAGATCCCTGCTTAAAGAACTTGCCATTTTCCCTAGCCCCACTCCCCCCCCACTTTTAGTGGGCTAGTTTGTTTAGCACTTCTTGAACTGACAAAGTGTTTCATTTTCTTTCTAACACTTCACTTCAATAGTCTGTAAAATGCATCTGGGAAAAGAGCCTTGTCTTATCCATCAGCGTTATTTCAAATAAGTTTTTAAAAAATCAAATATCAATACTGTTTAAAGGAAAGATACAAGGGGAAAATTGTCAGATTGTACATACACATTTGCTGAATGTGTTGCTGAGAGGTGAAGGTTGTTGTGTGGTTAATAACGAAACAAAAAAACCAAACCCAAAATTGCTGAGCTCTGGGTATAGCACATAGGATACAATTGGCAAAGTATTCTGCTTTCCAAGCACCCATATAAAGAAAAAATGAGAGTCTGTGTTATCTTTTTTTTCCACACTTTATATGAACAGCAATTCAACACATAAAGGCCTTGTTTCTTACTTTATTTGATACTATAGCNTTCCAATGTCCCTTCCAACTCTGCTATTGTATTGTATTGATCATCAAAATCAAAATGGTATTGAACATATTACAGGATTATTCTTCATGATTCTAAATAGTATGTGTACCCGAGAACTGAAGAGCATTTGGAATTTATCTGAGATATTCACTAAAAGTGTTTTGTCATTATGTCACTATTAACGTGATAAGTCTGAGGAAAAAAAGAATAATTTTTAAGGAGTTTTATTGAAGCAAACCTCTAAAAGCACAAGAAATTGACTTTTAACCAGATGATTAAGCATAAATGTTTTTAGCATGAGTGGATTCTGAAAAGAAGAATTTTCTATCTGCTGGAAGGCCACATTAGACCTAGATCTACACTTTTACAGAGATCACTTAATTATTGCTCTTATTACTATCAGCTTGACTGGGGCAAACCTGGAGGATACTTGATTCACTCAGCAATTATTATATGGCTTTTTAAAAGCCTGCTTTTGATCCTTTGCTGTGATTAGAGCCTTTTTAACCTCACTCTTTTTGCCTTCTTTTTTTAAAATATTGTATGCTTCATCTTGCTATCCACTTGGAATCCATCAGGATTGGAGCAAGCTATAAATACTTGAAAATAAAAACAAAAAGTAAGTGCTAATTGTGTGATCTGCAAAGGGGAAGGCAGGCTTTGATTGTTTTAATAGTCCTAGTCCATTTTCACTGACCTGCATATCCACTTGCTATCTACTGGAAAAGGATATTCTGTTCATGCATATAGAAAGTCTTCTGAAGCAGATCAAATTGGAAGGAAGGAGACCACAAATTAAATCTCTTATCAATCCACACCCCATTTTACATAAATTGGGACCCCTTGCTTATTGTGCTTCAGTTGGGTTCTATTTCTGTAAACAATGCTCTGTCTAGTTTGGCCACAGTATACCATTTGTCAGTGAAATCTCTAGAATTTGTTGACATTCACAATTATCTGGGTGGCGCGCCAGCAGCATCTTCCAAATGAAACAAGGAAATGTACATTGTGTCAGAATCTTGCATTAACTCAATTAAAAGGTTGACATAATTTTTATTACTTTGCACTTTCTGGCTGTAAGTTCGTCTATAATTAGAGAAGCAATCAGCACGATCAGAGCTTGCACAAAGCAGGTATATGTTGTGTAGTTATTTAGACAATTAACTAGTTACTGTAGTTAATTTTGCAAAATGAAACTTTTTCAGTGTTTTTATTGTTATTTGATAACACAGCACTCTTTCTTCAGAGTTGTGTTGTAATTTAAGAAGCAATGCATAAAAAACTCAAAAGGAATTGAGTTTTTCCCCCAGGTGCATTCACCTATGAGAAACCTAATAATTCAAAATAGCCATTTCTATTTAAATAGGTTTCAGGGTCAATTTTAAAATGAATTGGGTTTCCCCCCTTTTTTAGAGATTCCCCTGCCCCCCAATTGTTTGTGTTGTTGCATATTGTAATTTTCAGGTTCAACTAAATAGGCCTTTTTATCCATCAGCAAAACATTTAAATCTTTTTATTAGATTATAGCCACTGGTGGCACTTAGCTTTTTGCTCTGTTTATTTCTCTGTATTGTTATCTCCAATAATGCGTAACTGCAGATGTTTATTATCTGAAGAACATTTTTTGTGCTTAAATTCTTCTCAACCAAGAAACTAACAAAAGCCTCAAGCAAAACTTCATCACTTTCAGCCTAATTTATTTAAGAGGAGAGTGGTATGAATAAAACAGTAGGTCCCCATATATGTCACACTGAGTGCCTTTGGGGAAATGTAAGATATGGGAATGGCAGGTAAAGAACACATGCAGCTATATGATGCTTCAGTAGAGGATTCAGTAATGAAAGAACAGAAGCCCATAATTTTGGAATAAGATTTCCTGTTCTGATGATCATGATAACCAAGAGGAAACAGCTTAGGATAATGAAGCATGAAATGCTGGCATATTGTATCTTGGGCCTCATAGGCTACTTTGCTTGCAGTTCTTTTTCTCTGATCTGCTGCCTATGGAATTGAAACTAAGCATGGATGAGAATTTTGCCGATTGGGTGATGAGATCTGTGATTTATTAAATTCTGCTTAATGTGGAATAAAACTTCATGGAGAGAAGTTCATTGGGAGTGTTGAGAAATATAATCAGGAGGAAGAAAAAAGTCCCAGTGACCAAATCAATCAATCAAACAAACAAAAAAAAGTTTTGCATCCGTACTGTTTTACTAATGCATTAAAATTGTGGCCTCTATTGGTTTTAAAACTCTCTCTCTCTCTCTCCCTCTCCCTCCCTCCCTCCCTCCCTCCCCCCCTCTCTCTCAGAGAGTGTGTGTGTGTGTGCAAAAATTGTGGGGAATACAGGTTTATTCAGTTCCTCAAGTTTTCTAACAGATTAATCATACAGTACTTTAGAACAAAATATTAGTGTTTCAAAAATTTTGTAGATGAAACAGAAATATGCATAATGGTCATGCTTTTTTACAAATGATTTTTAGTGTGCACACTGGAACTATAATAATTTTAATATACATACTGAGAATTAAATGCATATTAAATATCATGTTCATATGTCTTGATCTCTTCACAAACAGTACTGAAAACTATCCAGTGAGCCAGGCTCTATATAGCACAGTTTTGTCTGTTTCAATATTAGATGATAGTTATTTCTACACAAGCACATTATTCCTTCATAATTATTAATTTGTGATTCTACATTCACATATATATATAACAGTGGCCTATAGGCTGCTTGCAATTCTCTGGTTCCAATTCCATTCCCCCAACCCTAAATGTTGGGAATCCATTATATTGACAGAATGATTTTTGAGATAGATACTATATTTTTCGGAGTATAAGACACACTATTTTCCCTCAAAAAAGAGGATGAAAATCTGGGTGCATCTTATACACTGACTACAGCATTTTTGGCCTCCTGAACCCCCACCTCCTTTCCAAAAATGGCCATGCATTTTGGGGAGGGCAAAAATAAGCGAAAATGGGCTGAGTTTTGTTCATTTTGGGGCCCTCCGGC